AGATAGATGCACACAGTATAAAAGTGGAAAGAACAAATATGAGCTATAGGAACAGCCAATTTATGCTTCCATCTCAAAAACATATAATAAAATCTACCATCTTTTTTATTTTTTTGAGACAGGGTCTCACTATGTAGTTGAGACTGACCTGGACTCACTATGTAGCCCAGGCTGGTCTTGAACTCACAGCGATCCTCCTACCTTAGCCTCCTGAGTGCTGGAATTACAGGCGTGCGCCACCATGCCTGGCTAAAATCTACCATCTTAAACCTTTGAAAGCATACAGTTCACACTGTTGACTGTATCGAATTTTCTTCCAGGTCTTTTTAAAATTCATCATGTGTATGTACATGTAACATTTTGTTGGTTGTAGATATTTGGTTCTTGTTGTTTGCAGTGCTGGTGATGGAACCCAGGGTTTCTGCATGCTAGAAAAGTGCTCTACCACCATGCTACACACTAAGCCCTCTCATAGCATTTATGAGGGGCAGTATGAGAAATTGAACCCAGATCCTCAAACGTGCTGGGCAGGCTCTCAACCACTGAGTTGCATCCTCATCTCTTTTTATTTTTATCTTGAGACAAGGTCTCATCGATTTGCCCAAGCTAACCTTGAATTTGCCATCTTCCTGGCTCAGCCTCCTGAATAGCTGGGATAATATGCATTTACCACTCCACCTGACTTTTTCTTTTGAGGCAGAATCTCACCATTTTGCCCAGGCTGACCTTGAATTTAGGAGCTAAAGTGGTAGCTGTTTCCTGTAATGTGCTAAATTTTAGAAGAGAATGTAACCAAATAATACTTATTAATTTAAAATTAAGAAATTAACCTGTAATTCCAGCACTCTAGAAGTCTGAAGGAGACTCTTCACAGAGAAGATAGGTCATCTCAAGGAAATTGCACGTCAATCTTCTCTCTCGTTGCCAACATTTTAATCCATTATCTCGTGTGGACTGCTGACTTGGACTTATTTACATACGCTATATTTGAGTGTGCCCCAAAATTTTATGTGTTGGAAGTTTGGTACCCAAGATGACATCACTGGGAGATGATATGGAATAAAAAATTTTAAGAGGTGGTGTTTAAGGGCCAGAGATTTAGCTCAGTGGTTCTGCTGCCTGCCTCGCAAGCGCAAGGACCCAAGTTCGATCCCTGGTACCAAAAAAAGAAAAAGAAAAAATTAAATAAGAGGTGGGGTTTAGTAGAAAATCCTTGGGTCACTCGAGGGTGCCACTGTTGGGAAGAGATTAAGGTAGTTCTCCCAGGACTGTACTAAAAAGCTTGAGTCTGGTTCCACTTCATTCTCTCTGACTTCCTTTTGCAGCATGATTGCTGGCACCCACACTTGTTACTTGCATATGCTACCATCACTGACATCTGCCATGATGTGACCAAGGGGGCCCTTCACTCAGTTCCAGTGCTATGACCTTCAGTCCCCAAACTGTGAGATAAACAGACTTTCTTTCTTTACAAAGTTAAACTCCCTCAGGTATCTTATTACAACAATGAAAAACTAAGACGGTACAGTTTTTGTGTCATATTTGCTTCTTACATTTTTTTTTCCTACCAGAGATTGAACTCAGGACTTTGTGCTTGTAAGGAAGGGGGCAGCACCACTCAGCTAAATCTCTGGCCCCTTTGCTTCTTAAATTTAACTAAAATATTTCTCTTATCTCTCTTTTAATATGTGATAAATTTATCCTAATTTATGTGTAGAGCACTGCACCATTGGTTTCCAAGATGCACATATAAACTGTCCAACTGTGTGCACACTATCTTCATTTAGGCTTGTAAAAGCTTTCAAATGGAAGATTAATGAGGGATATTTTTATATTCTGTACAAAAAGAAGCAGTAGCCAGGCATGGCTGTACAAGTCTGTAATCTGTCTACTAGCTTCTTCAATAAATGGTGATGGAACAACTGGTATCTACATGTATATGTATAAATGTCACTATCAAACCACATATAAAAGTCAATTCAGGGCTGCGGATTTAACTCAGTGGTGCCTGCCACCTGCTTTGCAAGCACAAGGTCCTGAGTTCAATCCCCAGTACCAAACCAAATCAAACCAAACAAAATATCAATTCAAAATGTATTAAAGCTGGGCATGGTGGTGCACATTGGGAGGCTGAGGTAGGAGGATCACCACGAATTCAGGGCCAGCCTAGGCTACATAGTGAGCTCAAGGCCAGCCTGGCCTGCATAGTGAGACTCTATCTCAAAAAATTAAAATGTATTAAAGACTTGAACATCACACCAGAAACTTTACTAGAATAAAAATAGGGAAAGCTCCATGACAATGGTCTAGGTAATAATTTTTCTAGATATGATCCTGAAAGCATAGGGAATAAAAGCAAAACAGACATATAGGATTTCATCAAACTAAAAAGCTTCTGCACAGCAAAGGAAACAAGTCAATAGAGTGAAGAGACCATTTGTGGGGTGGAAGAAAATATTTGCAAAATTATACATCTGATTAATGCTTAATATACTAAATACATCAGGAACAGCTCAATAACAAGGAAATAACTAATATGATTTAATAATGGGCAAAGAGCCAAGTGTGGTGGTGTATGATTGCAATCCTAGCACACTGGGAGACTAAGGCAGGAGGATCGCAAGTTTTAACCCAGCCTGGACAATTTAGCAATACCCTGTTTCAAAATTTAAAAAATAAGAAAAAGGGGCTAGAGATGCATATCATTGTAAAGGCCCTGGGTTCAATCCTCAGTACCACCCACACGTGTGCACAAAAAGGCAAAGAAGGCTGGGGATGTAGCTCAGCAGTAGAGTGCTTGCTAGCATGTGTGAGGGCCTGTATTCAAACCCCAACAGCACAACACAAAACAAAAGCAAACATAAAATGGGAAAAACATCTTCAAAAATAGACATTTCTCCAGAGAATAAATATAAATGGCCAATGGGCATATAAAAATTCTCATCATTAATCATAAAGGAATGCAAACTAAAACCACAATGAATAGTACAGCTGTTAGAATAGCTATTATGTTTTAAAAAGGATGGAAAAAGAGAACACTTGCATTCTGTAGGTAAGAATGTAAATTAGGATAGTATAGCTATTATGGAAAACTGTACAGAGGTTCCTCAAAAAATTAAAAAAACAACTATCACTACAGCTGTCCCACTACTGGATATGTATTTACAGAAGATGAAATCAGTATTGACGAGATAGTTGCATTCCCATGTTTGTTACAGTATTTCACAATAGCCAGGACATAAAATTAACCCAATGGATCAAGAAAATGTGGGTTTTATATATATACACCGAAATACTCTTCAGCCTGAAAAAAGGAAATTTTGTCATTTGTGACAACATGGATGAACCTGGAGGATATTATACTAAGTGAAATAAACGAGGCACAAAAAGACACTGTATGATTTCACCTATATGTGAAATCTAAAAAAGTTGAATTTACAGAAATTGAGAGTGGAATAGTGGTTATTACCAGGAGATTGAAAGGAGATTGGGGAAGGTGTTAGTTAAAGGGGATACAAAATGCCAGTTAGGTGACTATAGTTAATAACTGTATTCTTTGTTTGTTTGTTTTGAGACAGGGTCTCACTATGTAGTTGAGACTGACCTGGAACTCACTAGGTAGCCCAGGCTGGTCTCAAATTCAAAGTGATCCTCCTGCCTCAGCCTCCTGAGTGTTGGGATTACAGGTGTGTGCCACCACGCCCAGCTGTTAACTGTACTCTTGGAAACCAGCAAGTAGTTTGAAATGTTTCACCACAAAATAAGTCACATTTAATTTAGCTATTTTTAAAAATTAGCTATTTCACAATGTACACACATTTCTTTTCTTTCTTTCTTTTTTTGATACTGGGGATCAAACTCAGGACCTTGCACTTGCAAGGCAGGAGCAGTGCCGCTGAGCTAAATGCCCAGCTTTTCTTCTCTCTCGAGACATGGCTTGGCTATGTTGTTCAGGCTGGAACTCACTATGTAGCCCAGCCTAGCCTCGAACTCTCAGCGATCCTCCTACCTTGTGAAAGTCCTGGGATTACAGATGTGTGGTTTCCAGTGCATACACATTTCAAAACATGGTGACACACACATATAGAATCTCAATTTATCAATTAATAGATACATTTACAAAAATACATTTACATTAAAAGACTAGCACACGTGAAGCCACTTCTCATGGCTAGCTGCTTCTCATCCTTTAGATTTCAGTCTATATGTCACCTGCTCACACAGGCTCTGCGTGGCCACACAGTCCCAAGAAGTTCTCTGCATTATTCTCTACATTAGCTGTTTCCTTCCTAACACTTAGCACAGATTTTATTTTCTCACTGGTTGACTAGTTTCCTTTCTCCCTCATCATGAGCTCCATGATGCCGGTATCCACATCTGTCTGTGTCTAGTACATAGGGAACACTAGATGGATCTTTGGTGAATGAATTGAAAAGAAGGAAGTCCTTCAACATCCTGGCCCTCTGCTCCCAGTCAACCCGTGGGACATACACACCTTCTCTCTTCTACTTCTGGGATACAACGAAGAGTTCTCTAGCCAAGGCCATTCTACTCAGAGAAAGGCCCTTCCTCGGGAAACTTCTTGCATCCTTGATTCTTTACTAATCCTTTCCAACAACATGCAAAGAAGTTTCCACTTATCAATCAACTAACCACAAATTCGGGAATTTCTTTCTCAAGCTTTAGACCAGCATGTGATCATTTTCTTCCCTTGACTCTCAAGACTCTCGTGTTTCTATCTCAAATTACTTCTTAGGCTCTTTTTAAATATTGAGATTCATCAAAGTCCTGTTGTCTTCAAGCTCCCATTGAAAACGGACACTTCTGCTAGAGTCTGGAAGGAGTGACTCTAGGGAAGAGTTTGCTGAGAAGTCAGACTAGACTGATAGAAGATAAAGACCCGGATGTGAGAGACAGAGGTCAGGAGATGGCGTCGGAGCAGGCTTTGAGCCACTGTGACGCGTAGCTGGGAAAAGACAGCGGGGAGGAGCACAGCCAAACTTGACCTCCGCAAAGGGGAAGCACCGGCGCACGTACAGGGCCTGTGCGCCTGCGCCGTGGGTGAGGGACGCCCGTTGGTAAAAGGATGACGGGTTTCCGGAAGTCCACTCTTCACCCGGAAATGGTTGTAGAGGAACATGGCGTTGCTGGTGAGAGTCCTTGTGAGTGCAGGAGTAATCTTCTGTGGCTACCTGCCGGGTCTCCGGGTTGGAATCAGAGAGGGCGGGGGGAGGGAGAATCTGGAAGGAAACGCAAAAGGGGCCCCTGTGAGATTGCTTGGCTGCGTAGCACCTTTCCGCGCGGGAAATTAAGGCAGCTTCCCACTTGTCCGGGCTCTTGATTTGGCGACTCCTTCTTTCGTGGAGGGAGGAACATTGCACCATTATTTGATGAGCTTTGCTATTCCTCCACCATCTTCTGTAACCCTTTTCTCGCAGGGGGGACCACTTGGGACCCTGATGGAGTTACGGGATACGCGGGTTATAGTCCCTGTGGCACAGTGTGACCTTGGGCAAGACGCTTTGGAGCTTCCGTGTTCCCAAGTGAAAAAAAACGAGGACTTTTATCTCCTTGCAGCCCCTCTGGCTTTAGAGACTGAACTTGTTTAAAAGACCGTATGTCAATTCTTAACTAAAGTAAAGTGGAATATAGACTAAATATTAGACTGAAAGGGAGGCGCACAAGAATCGGGGTTATATAGGTGATTTTGATTTTGCATAGCACAGTGCGTGGCACATTCTGGGTGTTCAGTCAATACTTGTTGAATGAATGAATGAACTAAAGAAAGACTATTAGACTCGTAACACCCATGTGTGTTGTTTGTTTTTGGTACCGGGGATCGAACTCGGGTCCTTGCGCTTACAAGGCAGGTGGCGGCACCACTGAGCTAAATTCATGACGCTAGCACCCTTATGTGGAAGTTACTGTATCTCTTGAATTTTGGGCCCAATCCTCGTGAGATTCTTTTTCTAGCATACTCTGACCTCTGGGAATTAAAGGAGAAAGAAAGTGGCAGCAGAAAAAAAGGTTAGGTGGGCACAGATCTTAGTTTCTAATCATAGAAGGACTAGACAGTTATAATTTCGCAAGTCTTTAACACACTGGTTCAAGAATATTTTTTCATAGCAGACACTGTCTTTTCCTGCCGGACTCTCTTTTGAGTTATTTTACCACTTGTGATTTTTAGGCTCTTTATATAAGGCTTAGAGACACTGCAATTTTACTTCTTGTATTCCTTGCTAGCCCAGCAAAGTGCAGTATGCTGCTCAGTAAATTTTTGAGAAATCGTTTCTATAAACAAGATTCACTTGGTGAAGTAACTGTTTACTCCAAGGCAGAAACTAATTTGAGAGCATCTGGGGAATGAAAACTAGCATGTTCAAATTTAGCTGGTTTTCTTTTTTTCCATGCTGGAGATGGAACCCAGGACCTCAAGCATGGTGCTAGGCAAGTGGCCTAACACTGGCTATCCCCTTTTTCCTAAATTACTTAGCTTTTAAGATAGATGTGTGTGTGTGGGGTTATTGATCTAAAAACTTGAAATGAACACATTATCTTGAAAGTTAATAGCTGCTCCAGCTATTTTATTGTCCCTGAGCATGCAGTTCATTTTTTCTTAGGTGGTAATATCCATAAAAATTATCTCTTCTTCTGCCCTCTGTTAATTGGGTCTGCATTTTTAAAAATTCATTTGTTTATCTTTTTTGTTGTAATACAGGTTTAAATAAGGAAATTCCCTTTCTTTAACTATACCCTGATAGTGATAGGTCTTCTTAGTATATATGTTAAAATATCTGTGATAAAGCAATGGAAACTCCCTAAGGATTCCTTGAAGGTGGCAGTAAACCAAAAAGTAGCAGATATTTATTGATCACCCACTCTGCAAAGGGGTTTAGACTAAGTACTGTGATACAAGTAAAGATTTTTTTTTTTTTTTTTTTTTTTTTTGAGACAAGATCTCACTGTGTAGTTCAGGCTGGACTTGAACTGACTGTGTCGCCCAGGCTGGCCTTGAACTTGCGATTCTCTTGTCTCAGTCACCCAAGCACTGGGATTATAGGCTTGTGCTGCCATGCTTGGCTGTGTAAAGATTTCTTTCCTTCTCTTTAATTCAGCAACTATTGAGTGTTTGCTACATTCTGGGAACTATGTAAGGCACTGTACATGAAAAACAAACTTTACTCAAGTTTATAATTTAATAGAGGAGATTAAAAAAAACTGCAAACACTTGGAAAGGTATAATAGAATTTTATAACAGGTACAGATAAAGGTATGGAAACAGAGAAGAGAGGCACTTGAAGACAAGGAAATAAACCATTGAACTAAATGAGAGCATTAGAGGAAAGGACATGGAAGAGAAGAATTATATTCTAATAATGCTAGAAAAGGAACTGTAAGTAAATCTGACTGAACTTGAGGTTACTTGGGGGGAAATGGTATTAAAACTCCTTGAGTATCATGGTTAGGAGTTTGAAGTTTATCTCGGAGGTAGAGGGGGAGCCTTTGGGGAAGTATTTTACACTTGATCTTAGCCAAAAGGCCCAGAAGCGTTGTGGGAAGTATTTTATTTTTTGTTTTTTTGTTTTTTGGTTTTTTTCTTGGTATCAGGGATTGAACTCGGGTCCTTGCACTTGCAATGCAGGCCACCGAACCACTGAGCTAAATCCCTGGCCCTGGGAAGTATTTTAAACAAGAGTAGAAGTTTTTTGAGTCCACTTACTATTTTTCATAATTTAACTTGTTTTTCATTAAATTGAGAACTGACACAATAAATTACAGGATTTAATTTTACATTCTAGGTCTGGGGATTTAGCTCAGGGCTCCACCACCTGCCTTGCAAGCGCAAGGTCCCACGTTCCGTCCCTGGTACCAAAAAAAAAACCCAAAAAACAAAAAAAACCCCAAAAAGTAATTGTACAGTCTGACAAGATCAGGTGTGTCCAGGGTGGTATGGCTATAGACTAATTGTACAACATGATTAGGCCTGACACAGGTATACACCTGAAAAGTTGCCATGACCCTACAAGTGATGAACATATTTGTCGCTCACAAGTTTCTCTGTGCCTCTTTATAATTATTTTCTCATGTTGCTCTCTTCTTACAACCACCACTGATCAAAGGCAGATTTGTATTTCTTTTTTCATTTCTTTAAAAATTTAAAAGACTATTTTGAAAGTAAAAAAAAGTCAGTATAGGGCCTGGGATTTAGCTCAGTGGTGCTGCCACCTGGCTCACAAATGCAAGGTCCTGAGTTTGATTCTCCCCCCACCCCAGAAAAAGTTAATGTATTAAGTACTTGTATTCCCACTACTAGAGTTTTGTTTTAATAGATCTCTGTCTTAGTTTCTTTTCTTGTTGCTGGGATAAATACCTGACACTGAAAGTTAAAGGAGGAAAGGTTTATTTAGCTCATAGTTTGTAGAGGTTTCAGTCCATAATTGGCTGGCTCCAAGGCAGGGTGGGTGGCATGACAGAGGAGAAACTGTTCATGGTAGGCCAGAAGGTAGCAAAGCTAGGGAGGGATGACCACAGCTTTTTCTCTCCCTTATGTCTTATCCAGGCTACTTGGATTAGGTAACACTCACACCATTAATCCTAGTGCCCTTGATCCTAACATTGCACCATGAATCAATCCCAACGTCACACATTCTGGATACAGCCACCTCTGAAAAAGCCCCACCTGTGACTGCATGAGGCTTTGTGGGGACATGTAAGACACAAGCCATAACAATCTCCATAGCAGTTGTGAATAGATCAAGCAGAGGGAGCTGAGATTAGAGTTCTAAGGTCCGAAGCTACTTAAGGAATCCTAGAGGAAGTGATGAAGACCTGGACTAAGGGAAGGGTGATTAAAGCAGAAAGATTGTTTAAGCCGATCACATAATGCTAAGGCTGAGGAGCAGGAGCCCCTTTCAGGAGCCAACTTTTCCCCAGGGAAGACTAGTTCCTTCTAGTGAATATTGCTGTTTAGAAACCAAATCTGAGCGCTACATGTGCTTGTTGCTACTGGGGTGTCATTGCTTCCAGTCCCTATTTAGACATGGGTAGGAAATATATGTATTTATATATATACATATGACCATACATATATCACTTTTTATATCTGTATACATTAAACATACACCGGTTACTGTAATCTAGTCCATTATAAATCCATTCTTCCCTTCTCCCTTGCTGTGTTTGTTAACTCCTTTTTCTGATAGACTCTTGACATCTCACCCTTAATGTATTTACTGATTTGTTCAAATCCTTCCTGTATTGTAGTCAATCTTTTGAAAGCTCAGATTGGACGCCTTTAACAAAGTAATAGGAGGGTGTACTCAGTAATTTAAAAATTTTTGTTTTCGGTGCTGGGTAATCAAAGGCCTTGCATATGCTAAGCATGTGCTCTACTACTGAGTTATATCTGAAGCCATAATACTTTCTGAAAGAATTGTTGAATATTCTCCTTCTGTCTGGAACTATCCTTTTGTAGTGACATTCAGAGGCCACCATGGGGGCAGAGGACAAACTTCTGGGCTCTCAACATGTTATTCATTAAGAAAATGATTTGTGTTTTCTTTTGAGGCAGTTAGGGACTTAAAAGCAGTTTTTGGAGCCGGGCAAGGGATTACACATCTGTAATACCAGTACTCTGGGAGCCTGAGGCAGGAGCATCAAAAGTTAAAGCCCAGCTGGGCAATTTAAACTAATGAAACTCTGTCTAAAAAATAAACAATGGCTTGGAATGTCCCTGCATGTGAAGGCCATGAGTACAATTCCCAGGTTCACAGAACAAACAAAAACCAGTTTTGCTAAAAAGTAGTGACTCTTCATTAGGGCCTACAGATGCCCAATAGGTAACTAAATCAGAACAAAGCTTTCCCTTTCATTTATTGCCTTAAAACTTTGGGTCAGGTGCTTGATTAACTCTGCACATAGGCATGCTAATAATTTACGGAGTATCTAAAAGTTGGCAAAAAAGTTGATTACCCTTAAATTTATATGGCCTATCTTATCATCCTTCAAGACTGAGGGCACAAAGAGGTTTATAGGGACATTCACCTACCAGTGATGCACAGAAGTCTCCTGTAATTGTCCTAAACCAATGGTGACAAATCTATGGCACATGTGCTGCAGCAGGCTATTTGTTATTGAAAGCTCTTAAAAGGTTTACTGTCACTGCTCTAAAGCTATGATCATCTTGGAGGTTGACTTATACAAAACTGAGGCTGCCTCCAGCAGAAGTAACCATCTTCTGGAGATGTAACTGCACCTTCAAGACTCAGCCCACTCCAGTAAATCCATATAACTAGGTCTCATTCTTTTGTTTTTTTGTTTTGGTTTTTTTGAGACAGGGTCTCACTGTATAGTTGAGACTGACCTGGAACTCACTATGTAGCCCAGGCTGGTCTCGAACTCACAGTGATCCTCCTGCCTCAGCCTCCCGAGTTCTGGGATTACAGGTGTGCACCACCATGCTTGGCTATTTTCTCTAATTTTCTATCTCTGCCCAGTAAGTCAGCCTTTGCCTCTCACTGACACATCCTGAAACGCTTTTCTATGATGAGAGTCAAACCAGCTTGGCAAGATGAGTTGAGGTTTGTGTCTCCTCTTTGAGGTACCTCCTTAGACCCATCTGGTGACACTGCATGCTACTTTATAACTTGTAGCAGACTTGTTACGGTAGTATCTGTCCCTGGACTATGGAATTGAATTAGACATTGGGATTCAGAATATATGTACCACAGGGGAATTATGAAGTGAATTTGGTGACTGTAACCAGTCTTTATTACTCATGTGTTCTGTATTTGTGAATTTACCTAGTTGCTGAAATTTTATTTGTAGTTGCCAAATCAGTAGCTCACAACACTTTTCATTTGGAGACATGTACAGAGGGTTGAGAAATTTGACTCACCAGTGTACACATTCCCAGCTGAGGGCAAACAAGGCAACTCTGATTTCTTTTTCAGATTTTATGTTGTAAATAAATATTTTTTGGTCTATTTAGTGCCTTATTTTTCATATTTTTGTGCTTGTTTCAGTCATTTACTTTTGTAAAATGAATCTCAAAAGTAGTGCTCAAGGCCGGGGATTTAGCTCAGTGGTTCTGCTACCTGCCTCGAAAGTAAGGTCCTGAGTTTGATCCCCCATATCCCCTCAAAAAGAGCAGTGTTCAAGTTCTGCCTAGTGTTGTGAAGTGCAAGAAGGCAGTGATGTGCCTTACATTTGTTGTTAGTTTTGCTCGGAAATGATTTATAATGTGCTATTGCCTGTGAAGCGAATGTTAATAACTAGTAAGGGGACATCTTTAAAAGAAAAGCATAGAAAACAACGTTATGTATTGATTGGTTGACAAAGATGTTGCAACGAGAGGCTTGCAGGAACCTAACACTGTCTTTCCCCCAGGACCAGTGGTTCACTATGCCAGGTTAAAAATAACTTTTAAAAAACTGGGAATTGAAGCGAGGACCTTTGCACTGAGCTACATCCTAGCCCTTTTTTGAGACAGGGTCTTGCTGAGTCACTAAGTTGGCCTGGGCTGGACTCAAATTTGTGATCCTCCTACCTCAACCTGCCAGAATGCTGTGATTATAAGCATGGCTCACCATGCTGGTTTAAAAAAAAAACATGTTAAGAAGATGGTTTTGCTGTTTTGACAGTTTGCTGGGGAAAGAGGAACTTACATAATTTAGTAAAAATTGTTCATAATGATAATGATGTCTTTATATATTTTTTTCTATTATCAGAGTGCTTTTACAGATATTTCTTGGAAAATTCCCATGAAGTAGTTTTATTATTTCCATTTGTCATAAGGAAAAGTAGAGCCCAGATTTTTGAGTAAGTAGTTCATGGTCACACAGCGATGTAACGGCAGACTTGGGATTCAAACCTCCTTTCTGCTCTACTTGAGCAGTTTCAGTGAAGGATTTGAATAAGAATTATGGGATTGGAGAAGGAAGGACAGAGTTGATTAGTCCTTCTAATAAGAACTGATTTAAAGTATTGGCCTAAGACCGAGTAGAACCCAAATTACAAAAAAAAAAAAATTTGTTGACATAGGAAACAACAAAATGAAATTCTTCAGAAAATTTTCTTTTTAATTTTTTTCAGAAAATTTTCTAAATATTTCATTGTTTCTACTTGTAATATCCTCTTACCTTCCTGCCCGCTTTGGTCCTGACTCTGTAGTTTTATTTTAACCCATGTTTACATTTTTAGAAAAGAGCACCTGACATCATTCTGGTAAATCTGTCAGTATTAATAAAACAACACGCCAGTGACTGTCATTTGGAAACCATTCCAACAGATGAAACCTCAGCTGAAATAAAGTATTTTTAGCTCTACTTTTGATTTGAAATATAAGGTGCTGTGAGAGCCTATTAGAAACAGTTGCACAATTTTAGGACATGAGACACTTTAGAAAGCTTCTGTAGATTTAAAATTCTAATGCCTTTCCCTACTCCACCCTGACCTGTTTTTACTACATGTAAGGAAATAGAGATCAGATTCCTCTTAATACTAAGCTAGACATATTGCAAGGTATGTTTATTTTAGTATATGTGCTTCTGAAGCAAGCACGTGTATGTGTGTTGTTTTTAATTATAAGAAGTAAGTTTTTATTTTATAGAAGAGGTGATGAAGCCCCACTGAGGTTGTTATCTGATATGTAGTTTATGAGCACAGGATCCATGAGTCAGCTTGGTGCTAGTACCTCTTGGTCCAAGTACCTCTTTCTACAATATGTGTTTTATTATATTTATAGGTATAGATATATAATGGCATTGAAGATTAAACCCATGGTCTCTCACCGAGCTACAATCCCCAGTCATTTTAAAAAGTTTTTATTTTAGGACATGATCTTGCCAAATTGCTTTGGCTGATCTTCACCCTCCTGAGTAGCTGGAATTATAGGTTTGCCCTGCCTCATCCAGCTAATATGCTGTTTTAATTGGTTCAAGACTTTACCATTGGTTATACTTCTAGTGTTAGAGCTAGAAGAGATCTGGGAGATAATCCCTATACCTTTTCATCCCATTAATGAGCATGGATTCTGGAGTTGGGCTGCCTGGGGCCCAATCCTCAACCTGCTGTTTATTTTAACTATGTGGAAAGTTGCTTATCCTAGGCATAGCTCAGTCTCTTGATCTGTGTAAGTAGGGTAATAACAATATAACTGTGTCACTAGGTGGTGATCGTTAGGTTTAAATATTGAGGTGAAAGTTCCAGCCTTTTACTTATTTGGTTGGTTCCTCTGGCAACCACCCTCCCATCCACCAAGAATCACCTTATTAGCATAAACTCTGGTAAGGTAGAGAGGGGCTTATTGTGAATAACAGTGGTCACTCAGAAATTCCACCAGTCTGGGAGCTTTGTGCCAGGAACTAGAAATGAAGACCAAATATATACTTCTTATATCACAGTGTCACAGGTACACTCTGCCCTCTATGTGTGGAGTCTGATATAGATTCCTGACATGCTCACTTTTTCTTTCTAGGGGAGGCAGACAAGCATCTCCCAGTGGGTTCCAGTATTCAGCCAATTGGTACCATTGTCTCCTACCCAAGGACAGTGGGGCAGGATGCCGTCTGGAACTTCCCAGGTAAGATTTGTTCTTTGGTTTAGTATGAAAACCTTAATGTTTATGTGCAAATATAGATTAGTCAACCAAATTGTGTGATGGAAAAACCTCATGAGACAACTGTAGGTCTCTATGGTGCCAGCTCAGGACTGATTCCTACAGTATAGTGTCCAGGGCGTTGCTTCTAAATACTCCACCAATGGAACTTAGCCTAGGATACCATGTTACAGTCTGATGATTTTTACTGTTAGGGAATTTTTCCAGACATTCATTTCAGAGTTAACTTTTTAAAATTTTCTTTTCAAAGCTGCTTTTATTTGGGGTGAAAATGTTTCTTTTTCTTTTTATGAATATAAAATCCAATAAACAGTTATTGGAGGCCTTAGGTTCCCTAACATTGGCTGTGTGATTCATTATAATGTAGTTAGCCTTGGATCTCCCTTGTGAGGATTTTTTATTTTTCCTGATTTTTGTTAATTAAAAAGTACTTTAATGATAAAGGAAATAAAAATGACCTGTGACTTCAAATCTGAAAATATCAGTATTTTCATCTCTGCTGGTTCTTTTCCAGCTCTATGTATGTGTGTATAGTAATTTTTTTCCTTAAGTACCTGAATACATTTTCATTTTATATTTTGGTGCTTTTTCACTTTTATTAAAGCAGACATTATTTGTGTTGTTTAGATAGCCTTTGCTATTCAGATTATCCCCCTCCCTCGCTGTTACAGGCTTTTTCTTACCATTTTCTTAGCATTTAAAAAATTTTTATAGGAAGAAAAGGACCAAAAGTGTAGGGACAGTGAGAAGGATAGGGAAGGGGGAATAAGGGAAAGGGAAAAAAATATGAGAAAATGTAAAAATGGAATTAAAGTGTTTGAGGGGGGAAGGGGAGGGGAGGGTAAAGGGAGGGTGGGGACAAGGGGAAAAATGAGAACCAAGACCTGGCATGTAAAGGTACAAGATCCCAGTAATGAATGTAACTGTACTGTCTACCTAGAATGTACCAATAAATTAAATTTAAAAAATTTTTATAGGGAGTTTGATTACTGTAGATACCTCATCTAAGTGGAATCATATTGTATTTGACCTCTTGTGACCATCTTATTTCGCTTAGTGTCATGTCCTCAAGGTTCATCTATGTTATAGTGTAAGACAGAGTTTTTTCTTTTTAAAGCCTATATATTCTTATATATAATATGTAAAAAAAAAGAAAAAAGAAAAAAATATATATGTATATATATATATATATAAATTTTCTTTATCTGTTTGGGCCAATGGACATTGGATTGCTTCTACTTCTTGGCTATTATGAATAGTCTTGCAGTGTACATAAAAGTATGCAAATACTAGTTTGAGAAACTGCTTTGAACTCTTTTGTGTATACACCCAGAATTGAATTGCTGGATTATATGATAATTCTGTTGATAGTTCTTGACTGCAACTATGATATTTGCTTAGTAGTGATTTCCTGTTTGTTTACCATTCCTGTATTTATTAACTGGAGTTCTACTGAAAGGAGGAGCTATCACTTCTTTCCCTCTTACTTATTTTCCCAATTATTTATCGGTATGAGCGCGTGGATATTTGTTTTCGTACATGAGTTATAATCCATTCTAATTAGTTATTTTCTTCATCAAATGAATTGTCCTGTTTTGGCTCTTGGGAACTCCTTCAAGTTCCTTTTTACATGTCCCCATCATTTTTAAATACTCCCTTATTTCCTGGCACCACAAGATGTTTCACATTGTATTTTCTTTGCTTTTGCCCTAGATTCAATCATTTCTCCAAGGAGCTCTGGTTCCTTTTATTGGAAAATGGTATTTAGAAATAAAGATGTTTGAACGTGTGTTGTTGAACTCAGGTTTTTGAAGGCACCTTTATGTGGGAGAGACAATAGTCTCTATATTTTATTTAATAATGAGCTTTCTTTGAGCCTTAGTGGCCTGATTTCTAGAGTGGGAAAGAAACATTATCTGCTTTACAAGGCTGTTGTGAGAGAACACAAGTAAAACACAAAGCATATACCAAGGTTATAGGGAATTCTCAGCGAGTTGTAACTGCTATTTTTGTTGCTATTTGTGTTCATACTACTTGGGTGAGTTTTTGCCTTACTGTATAAAGTGAAACTTAAAGCAAAAAAAGTCCAACCTCTCTTGCAACCTCTCCCTTGGTTTTAGTTTCCTCATCTGTGGACTAGAAGTGGACTAGTCCTCATTTTGGACTAGAAGACCTCTGAGCTCTCTTCCACTTCAGGTGTTATTCTAAGCTTAATTCTTCAGTTGCCTTTTCTCCAAACTAAACACTTCAATTCATTTTAACCTTTCCACTAGGACCTTTTATTCATCCCTTTGATCATTTCTGTGGTTCTTTTTTGGACCTTCTCCAAGTTGTCCTACTCTTTGAAAAAAGTAGAAAAAGAAAAACCACCTAGTTTTTATTGAGTAATGCCCAGAATGATGTTGAGCACTGGGACAGAAAATAAAAAGAGTATAAGACAGACTGGGCCCTGGTGGAACTTAACAGTTTTAGTAGACTATAAGACACCTTCCCCCCAATGACATTTAAGAATTATTTGAGTCTATCTCGGACCTTTGGTCACCTTCTTTTTCTCTTTTTAAGGAGGCCCCTTTCAGACTCTTTTGGAAGCAAAGGTGAAATCTTATCTATTTCTATTAATGAGGGGCTGTCTGCAAGAGTTTATTATTGCAGTTATCTGGAACAGGTCTTTACATTTATATTTTACATTGTAGTTTTGTGTGTGTGTGTGTGTGTGTTTGAGACACAGTTTCACTGTGTAGTTCAGGCTGGTCTTGAATTCACTATGAAGCCCAAGCTGGCTGAAAACTCCAGTGGTCCTCCTGCCTCAGTCTCCTGAGTGCTGGGATTAAAGGCATGCACCACCACGCCTGGCAACCTATACATTGTAGTTTGCACATCTCTTTTACAGACATTATTATATTTGGTTGTCAAAACATTTATGAGACAGACTGGAGCTTCCATCCAAGTCCCTCATTTTGTGTTTGTTCTTTTTCCACTCTACAATGCTTGCTCACTCCTGCCTTCCTATTTTACGTTCTTCTTTATCCTGCCTTTTTCTTTTCTTTCTTTTTGAGACAGGATCTTGCTATGTAGCCTAGGCTGGCCTCGAACTCATGACAGTCCTCCTGCCTCAGCCTCCCAAATGCTGGAATAATAGGCATGTGCTACCACAGTGGCTATCCTGCCCTTTTCTGTGATGTATTTTCTGATGACTACAGGTTATTTTCCATTTCCACATTTCTTTTGTCAATACTGCCTATTCCATATCTTTGATCATTTTTATACATTTTACTGAGGTCTAATAAAAATTTGAAAAAATGGCATCATGAGTTATCACAACTAAATGAATTATTACAAGGTAATCATACCTAGCATCCACATCAAGAAGTAGAAAACAGGGCCAAGGATTTGGCTCAGTGGTTCTGCTGCCTGCCTCGTAAGCGCGAAGGCCCGAGTTTGATCCCCAGTACCAAAAAAAAGAGAAAGACATAGAAAACAGGACTGCAGAAGCTTCCCAGATATCCTTCTAGTCATTACCCCCAACCAAGGTTAACTGTAGTCTTCACTTTGAATACCATAGATTAGTTTGTCTACTAAACATACAGAAGAAGGGTGTGGGGATGTGTAGTATGTGCAAGGTCCTGGGTTCCATCCCCAGGACTGCAAAAACAAGTAAATAAATAAAATACACTATGTAGTCTCTGTGTTTGTTTGCTGTCATTTAGCTTTGTTGTAGAGATTCATCCGTGTTGTTCTTTGTAGCAGTAGTTTCTTCTTGTGCAATATTTTAGTATATTTATATACTGCAGTTCATTTATTCTGTTGATGGATATTTTGGTTGTTTCCATTTTGGGACTTTTATGAATAGTACCATTTGTGTGTGTGTTTTGGTGAATATATCTGTACATTTTGTTGGGTATATTCTTAGAAGCAGAATAAGTACTACAGGTTATACATAAGTACTGCTTAAATAAATACTGCTAAATACTTTCCCAAAGTGACTAACATTTTATACTCCCACCAGCACTGTATGAGAGTTTTATTGCTCTAAATCCTTGCTAATACTTGGGAATTTTTGTTTGTTTGTTTGTTTTTGATGGGTGACAAAATATGGTAATTAGTTCTGCTTATTGTAGGGTAAATCTCTTTTCTCTTCACATGATTATGAGCTCCTTGAGGATGGAGATTCTGTTTCTGTCCCCAAGAATTGGCATATCCTGAGCATTTTGTACAGGTTGGGTTAGTGAAAGCATATATATATTATGTGATTGTGTAGACAAGAACAGGAAGGGAAATATTAAAAATACAAGTTATACAGGTGGTGGTCTTTGTTTATCAAATATTTGAGTTTCTCATGTGGAACTGTACTTGATTCTGGTAATGCACCTAGTTTTTACCTCATGTATCTTGGTAATTGTGATAGAAAAAGAGCAAATGTATAAATATGTAATTATACATTATAAAAAGTACTATGAAAGAAATGAACAGGCTACGGTTATGGTAGAGAATATGGCTAGAAAGAAACTTTTTAGTTAAGGTGGTCAAACAAGGTGTTTTCGAAAAAGTGACATTTGGGTATTTCAGGGTATTTTTTCTCTTCAAAAAGTTTTTGATGTCTTTTCAATTTAAACAAATGAAAAATTTGTCTTTAAGAATTGAGTTAATCCTTTTGGGCAGGTATGGACAAGAGTGGGTAACAAAGTATGTGTCCATTCCTGCCCAAAAGGATTAAGTGTAAGTGTGGGAAAACCAGTTCTTGTCTTTGGTACTAGATACACAGGTACTTCAGTAGTTCAGTATAGTATGGAATGTGAAAATCATGAGTAATGAAGGACAGAAATACAGCAGGTGATGGAGCAGCCATAGAAAGAATCCATTGATTATTCCTGGAGCTGTGGGAAAAGAGAAAGACCATATATTCTCATGGAAGAGAATTCAGCCTAAAGCACAGCTTCTTGAAACTTATCTTGGTTGTGTTCTTTGAATCGGTTTCAGTGCTTGATGTTCCAGATGGACCACTACATTGTTATATGTGATTGCGTGGGAGGTGGTCTCTGTTTAGTTTGTGTTTTACAAAGCCTGCTCAGTACCTATGAATTAAAGCCTAAGTGTCTCTGGGATTGACCAGAAGAATCTGCTAATCTTTCAGTACCCTAGTTAAGGAAAGAAATGTAAATAGTTATATACTACAATTAGGAATCCTAGTTTTCCTTTATTAAGACTAAAGAGGAAAATTATTTTCATTCCATGTGTCCTTTCTCTTTTGAAATAAACCAGAATTTGAAGATTAACCCCCTTCCTCTTCCCTCCCTACTCTTTTTATTGTGAAGGTAATAGAACTTTACTGAGAGTTTAGAAACTAGATTCTTAAACTTACCCATAATAAATCAGTCTCTCCCCCACCCCTCTTTAGTGGTGGTACCAGACATTGAATCTAGGGCCTCACGTATGGTAGGCAAATATTCTGCTGAATTATATCCCCAGCCTCATATATACATACATACAAGCTATGTATGTATGTAATTTTTTTCAGTATTGGGGATTGAACTAAGGGCTTTTGCATTGAGCTACATTCCCAGTTCTTTTTAAAATTTCTAAAATTATGCAGCAGGGTCTTACTAAGTCACTAAGTTTCCCAGGCTGCGTTTGAATTTGTGATCTGCCTGCCTCAGCCTCAGCCTTCCAGAGTGCTGGGATTGTACATGTGCACTGTAACATCCACCTGTTAGACATAATTATGATGTAACAGAATAACCCCTTCATTTCTGTGGGAGGCTTGCTTGCCTTACCCATATGTATTCATGTTTTTGCTTATAATTTTATCCATGTTTTAGATATTTTTTCGTGTTAAAAATAATCTCTAATGTAAACTATGGACTTTGGGTGATAGTCACAGTGTAACACATCCTACTCTGGTGTAGAATGTTGATAGTGGGGCAAGTTGTACACATGGGTGGGAGAGATTATATTGGAATTCTGTACTTTCTGCTCAGTTTTGCTGTAAACCTGAAACTACTTTTAAAAAATCTATTAAAAATCTATTTAAAGAGCTCCCAATGATCATCTGATTTTCCATTATTAGGTGATTATAACCTTAATTAACCATCTTCTTTATTGCACTTTTCCTATAGTTTTCACTCTTGCGATTAATGCACAGTGAGGATGTCTTGCATATAGTTTAGTGTTGTTTTCGTCCCTGAGCCTGCTCGCCAAACAAGGTTCAGGAACCTGGTCTGGGAGGGCAAGACACGGAATCACCACCGGGGAGGTTTCTGGAACGCTTCCATTTTACTGAGGAAATGTGCAGACTTATATAGGGTAAGGCAGGGGTGGAACCAGGGTGGAGTCAGGATATTTGGCACATCCTTATTGTCTACGTGTTAATTTTTGGATTGTATGTTTTAGGGGCTGAGGCAAATGGAGTCAGGACTTTAGAGATTTTTGAGAGGAACAGTTTATCTGTCTAAGATGGGGTCTCTACACACCCAAGGGGCAGATTATTCCAGCCCTAATAGGCCTCGGAGTTTTCTCACGAGAGGTGGGTGCCGCACTCCTGACTCAGCCAGAGAACCTAATCATCAGTTTAGTTTTCTCTTTAGGAATTTATTTTTAAAACTGTGTATTGTTCTTTTAAAAATTAATCTTATTGATACATTGAAGGTATACAATATGACTTAGTTTTAAAATTGAAATCAGTGTTTTTCTTCTTCCCATATATTACTATCCTGCCAACATTTAAATAGATACTATAATTCTGTTGCCTAGATTTGACTCACATTTGACTCATATTTTCAGGATGGAATACTTTTATTCCTTCAAGTATTTGATATATATTTATTGAGTGCTTGCTATGTACCAAACACCATTCCAGGTACTGATCTCAGATCCTTTTGGTAATGAGATTTCCAGGAACTGTGCTAAATGTGTTTGGATAGTCCTGTAATCTTTACTTCTAACAAGCTCTGCTCAGATTAGCCCTCTGAGTGAAGATTCAGTGTTGCCTACGTGTTTTTTTTTGTTTTTATTCCCTAGTGGCCCCAGTTGAGCCAATCCCTAAGATGTGCTATGTCAGGACAGATTCCTGGAATAGACATACAGCTGAGGAGGAAGTATCACATCACAAGTAAGGTGAGAATTATTAGAGCTTTCTGTTTATAAAGTGCTTTCAGATAGATGTTCTTATTTTGATCTCAACAAAATTGTTAGCTAGATGAGGCTGGAGTTTAAGCAAATGTAGAAGGTTCTGAAAGTGACTTGCCCAGGGTCACAAAGGCTGGTAAGTAACAGGCAAACTGAATATGTGAACTGAACTCTTCTGAGCTTATGCCATGTGTTTCTGTCATGGTACTTTTCTTTTTGGAAAGCACTTCAGAGGAGAAAAGTTTTACGAATTTTGTACAGGTTAAAAAGTGTAATTTGACTTTTAGAGAAATTTTTATGGGTTAGATATTCCTTTAGAGAGACTTAGTAATCAGACAGGTTTTCCTTACTTTGTTTTCAAACTGCAAGACCTGTTTATATTCATTAATAAAATTTGTTGTACTAAAAAATATAAAAGTTTTAAAAAATGTTTATTCCATGCTTGCTTTGGTTGATTGTGGTTTTGGATGACCTTTGTCTGCTTTCAGATGGTGTTTTTCTCTCCTTTTCCTTGTATACCCATAAACAAAGAACATTCCTCTTCTCAGAATTCTTCTTTGAGAAACAGGCATCAAGATTTCTTTTTATTTTGTTTGTGGTTTTATTTTATATTGTTCTTGTAATACTAGAGATCAAACTCAGGGTCATAGCTACTGTGCTACATCTTCAGCCTTTAAAATTTTTTTAAAATTTATAAAACAGGATCTCACTAAGTTGCCCAGACTGGCTTTTAATTTGTAATCCTCCTACCTAAGCCTCCCAAATAGCTGGGATTACAGGCATGGGACACCCAGCCCAGCAAAATTACCTTTTAGGAGTATTCTTTCTAATAGAACTTGTATTCTGTACTCCAAATATATTATTTCATAGACATTGGTTCTTAAGCCCATGGTCACTGAGGTGGGTATGTCTTTTTTTTTTTTTTTTTAATACTGGGGATCAACCTTGGGACCTTGCACTTGCGAGGCAGGCAGCAGAATCACTGAGCTAAGTCCCCAGCCCGAGGTGGGGATATCTTGCTGTGTAATTTGGGGACTGTCTGTTAGATATCATTCCAAATGTGTTTGCATTTAGTGATATGATGCCTAAAAAAACTGAAAATTGTGCTCACTTCGGCAGCACATATACTAAAATTGGAACAATACAGAGAAGATTAGCATGGCCCCTGCTCAAGGATGCATGCGAATTCATGAAGTGTTCCATATTTTATTTTTTTTGGTACCGGGGATTGAACTCTCGTGTCCTTGTGCTTGCAAGGCAGGCCACTGAAACGCTGAGCTAAATTCCTGGCCCCTGTGTTCCAATTTTTAAGGCTTATCTTTGGAGCTGAATTTTCTTTTTCTTTTTTTAAGATTGAGTGGTATACTAATAAGTGAGAGTTTGAAATTAGAAGTAATTTATGTTTTATATACAGATTTCAAGACATTTGCTAATTTTGTAGTTTCATGTGATTAGTTTCCAAAGGTTACAGATAATAAAGAAATCAGAAATGGTACCTTTTTAAGAATTGCATATTTTTTTAGACACACATTAAGCACATTAAGAAGGAAACAAAAAATTACTATTTAAAACTGTAAGCATTTACTCCTAAATTAACTCCCTCATTAACTAAACTGTCTGGCTCCCAGGAACATCCTTATAAGAGAAAGCGGGGAGTGTTGTATTTTTTTTTTGTACGGGGGCTTGAACTTGGGTCCTTGAGCTTGCAAAGCAGGCAGGGAACCACTGAGCTAAATCCCCAGTGTTGGGGAGTGTTGTATTGAAAGGGAAATGTTGCTGGACTACTGACTGAAAGTAAATTTACATAAAGTTAAAATAGTTTTTTCCTTATGGACATTTGTTTTGTTAGCATATTATTAGAGATTGCATTACAATCAGTGGATACAGATGCTTTGCTATTTCCACCAGAACAAATCATATTTTGTATTTTCTTTTGTTTGTTTGTTTTTTGTTTTTTTGAGACAGGGTCTCACTGTGTAGTTGACACTGACCTGGAACTCACTATGTAGCCCAGGCTGGTCTTGAACTCACAGAGATCCTCCTGCCTCAGCCTCCCGAGTGCTGGGATTACAGGCGTGAGCCACCACGCCTGGCTTGTATTTTCTTTTAAAATACAAACCACCTCCAAAAATCTAAATGTACATACTGCTTAAGTATTTGGCTGTTTTTTATTTTTTAAAAGGTATAGACACCAAAAAAAAAAAAAAAAAATTAACATTGTAGAAGATGGAAAACAGTAAGATGCATTTTCTGTAACTTTGTCTACACATGTACATTACTAAGTTGTTAAATCCAATTTGAATCAAACTCACTACAGGATTTCTTATTAGAACAATTATATTTATTTTAAGTGTGTACATACTGCACACTGGCCTCTCAAAAGCATATTGTAGGTACTGAAAATAAAAGGAAAGAAAATGCATATTAAAACACATTTCATGGAATTGTTCATCACATATACTGTTAGATTTGTATACTGTAGGGTGTTTTGTTTTGTATTTTTATATTGTATATGAATTTTTTAATGTGACAGTTAAACACATATTTGAAAGCCTAGTCACAGACAAGATAAAAATGATAATTTCCTTCAGAATTCCTACGATGTTAAATTTGGTGGCAGCTTCAGACTATTTTATTTTATTGGTGGTAGTTACTTGCTGATCTTTTTAAATAGGTAGTAACTCCAGAGAAGAAACCTGTGCATATGCCTAATAAGTTGTTCTTTTATATTAAAGTTTAGAGTAAACACCAAGTAAAACAATGGAAATGTATATAGAACTACTAGTTGTTACATGATTTAATTATATCAAGATACATGAATTTAACTTTAACTTACTTTTATGTAGGTGAACTATTTATTTTTGTCCATTTTACTGTTCGTTAAAATAACATCCCTCTCCTACATACTCTTTTTGTTTGTTTGTTTGTTTTGTTTTTTGATTTGGTACTGGAGATCGAACTCAGGACCTTGTGCTACCGAGGCAGGCGGTGGAACCACTGAGATAAATCCCCGGCCCTCCTATATACTCTTTTCTTGACCCAAATGAAATACTAATCTAAAGTCAAAATGAGGAGAGAAACAACTGAGATGAATGTCTTTACTAAAATAACCAATAAATTTTGTCAAACTAAAAACAACAAAACTGAAATTAAAAATTCTAGGAGAATAAAAAACTAAAATATAAATATTCTTACACAAGGAATAAAACTTGTTAAATGTTTTTTGCAAGTGTCATTATATTGTATGTCTAAAATGTAACGATACAATTAATTTTTTGAAAAATCTTTGCAATTAATGTTGGTTTCCTTCTTTTTGGCTAAATAGCTTCTAGCTGCCAAAGATTCTCCACAGCAAATTGAGGAAAAGGTTGGTGCCTTCACGAAGATAATAGAAGCCATGGGATTCACAGGACCTTTGAAATACAGTAAATGGGTAAAGTCTTTCAAGTTCTTATTTTTCCTTTTATTTTTTGTCCTTTTTATTTTTCACAGATATTTTACTTTTCCCATTAGTGGGGATCAAACCCAGGGCCTTTCCAGTGAGCTACATCCCCAGTCCTTTTTATGCTTTGAGACAGGGTCTCATTAATTTGCCCATGTAGGTCTAGAACTTGGAATCCTCCTACCTTAAGCTTCTTAAGTGCTAGAATTACAGGTATGCATTACCATGCTCAGCTTGCCCCATAGATTTTTTTTTTTAAAGCTTCTTCTTTGCTTTTGTGAAATTCATACATTATTTTGAGAATTTCTACAAAGTGTACTCCTTCATCCCCACTTCCTAGTTAGATTTATTGTACAGCTTGTGGAGCTGAAATACTTTCCCACCTTGATTCCTTGTAAGTATCTTAACAGTGACAGGCACAGAAGACTGAACTCCTCAGGCCCTTGCTACATGATTTGCCATATAGATGAGTTCTAAGGGATCAGAGGGCCAGATATTCTGATGAGCAGTATTAAGATGCGTTGCTGTCCGATGAATCCATTTCCATTAGTGATTTTTACTAGGTCATTGTTGTGACTTCAAACTTTTACAAATAAATAGCTTTTATTAAAATTGATCCTGTGACTTACTATAATTTTATTATAGAGGGACATTTGCTGCCTGTGTCACTCCTAGTCAGCTCTTGGCCTAGCACATAACTGTTACATAGTAGTTACTAGGAATGAATGAATATCCTCTCCGCGTAAGGTGTATATTACTGTCAGACTTTTAAAATAATACCTTTAATGAATTAAAGTAATAAAGCAGTAGTGATTTAGTTCTCAGCCTGTTTATCACCTATTACTACCTATTACTATCATGTGTCTCTTATCACTATAGCTCAGCACTTTTTATATTATTTAGGGTTGCTACCATATTGGATAAGTCTAATTATAAGTTATACATCAAAGCAAGCCAACATAAAGCAGGAGAGAATATTTTCTTTTCTAGAAAATATCATAATTTTTCTCAAAACAACCAACTCTTGCTAGTTACACTATTTTAACAAGTTGGATTCAAATTTGAATTTCAGCTTTCATATGGACTCTCTATTTTTGGTTTCTTCTTATGATGTCTTCTCTTGCTGATAGGTCTCACTGCAACAAATACTTATAGACTACCGTCCTTTCTGTCTTTTTATTCTTCTTTTTATTGAGTTTATTGGTACATAGACTACTGTCTGTTATCTCTCTTTTACCTGAATTCTGAAAAGGCAACAGAAGTTTCACAAGAATTTTATTTGGAAGGAACTTTGAAATGTATAGAGAGAACCCAAATACTAAGAAATAATGATATTCTTGAAACCTTAAGGTTATGAGTACCTTCTAAATCACTGAGGAAACATTAGTTATGCTCATTAAATTTTTATTTTTTATCTCAATTCTTTGATAATTGATAAATTGTTGATTTATTTGGTAATGTTAATAACAAGAATCTTTTCCTCTATATTAAAAAAAGATGATTACGACATTTGGATTTAAAATTTAAAATATATGTTTTGTTTGAAAATTAGAAATTAAAGGAAGTGAAAGCAGAAAGAAAAATATTTACTCTTTTATGAATTTCTTGGTGATTGGGCTCTAGTTGGTTGCTACTATATAGTTTGTCTACTGTTTTTTAATAATTTCAGAGGGGAAATTGGCTACTACTTAGAGGATTAGTAAATTATCCAGAAAAATTTTAACTCTTTTAGCTTAGGTTAGCTTCTGATTTTTCTTGGTTCTCTTTATAACCTCAGCTAAATCTTTTGCATTTAAAAATTTGCATTTTAAATATTTTTGTTTTAAAAATCTGTGTGGCAGTATCTACTTTCCATAATTTTGTTTTTAAATTTGTGACATCAAAATATCAAAGTATGTCATTCTACTATGCTTTTGCTTATAAAAAGTAGGTATTACTTTCTATTTTAAAAAAATGGAGCTGGGCATGGTGGCACATACCTGTAATCCCAGCACTCGGGAGGCTGAGGCAGGAGAATCGCTGTGAGTTCGAGACCAGCTGGCCTACATAGTGAGTTCCAGGTTAGGCTCAACTACAAAGTGAGACCCTGTCTCAAAAAATAAAAGGAAAGCCTAGGGAAAAAAAAGAAATTACAAAAAAAATGGAAAGCCCTTTTCAGCAATGTTGACCAATAAATCTATGACTAGACACTTTTATTGGATTATGTTGGCAAAATTCTTTGTGTTCTCACATGTATTAGATTAGAAAGTAAAATGTCTGTTTGTCCATATCAGTAGTATCAACTATCTTTTCTCTATATTTTTCTTTAGTGTTTTCATATATGGTTCCCGTTTTTTTGCAGGATCATACTTAGGATGATCAGTGTAGCTTTTCCTTACCTATTTGAGTATTTAAAAATATTTTTTTTCCAATCATATTTGTTTTTGTTTGTTGTTTTTTGAGACAGGGTCTTGTTATGTAGTTCAGGCTGGCCTTGAACTCACTGTGGGATCCAGGCTGGCCTTGAACTCAGGGATCCTCCTGCCTCAATGTCCTGAGGATTGCAGGCATACACTACCATGCTTAGCTCTTTTTTTTAAAATTGTATTCGTATAGCAGTATCATATGAGAAAGGGACAGCACTAATCAGACTTAGCCACATGCCTTATTAAATAGTTTCTGTTTGAGCATTAAGCCAGTGATTTATTTTTGTTCTGAAGGACACTGTCAACCTGTAATATATTCAGAAGTAGGCAGTGAACCTTGTGTAAGCTTCAGAAACTGTGTTGAATGAAGAATGCTTGCAGGAAATAAGGATACTTATCTGGAAAAGAAAAGACATGATGAGTCTTATCAGTATTCTGGGGCAAATATAGAAAATAAAAAAGAGTAAAAGACTTAATCTGAGGTACTCCAGTGTTTAATGAATGTTACATGCAAGAGATTTAAGTTCATTAAAACAAAGATGATACCAGAATTGTCTTCTAGTAGGATCAGTGGCCTTATAAGCTCATTGATCTTGTTTGAACAGGGTCACATATCATTGGCGATGACTCAGGAATGCTGGAGAAGGAATTCCAGTACAGCATAGGTGCTTTAAGTGACTAAAAAGCCCCTTCCAACTGTCACACAAGTGTTAGTGCCAGACTTTTACTCATTTTTTATCTTGTAGGAAGACACAAAATGTTATCAATATGAGAGCAGATTTTCATTCCTAAAGCTCTTCTAGATGCTTCTGTTTTATTAAAGTAGCCTGATGAAGGCTTCCAAAATTAGAACGAAATAAACATTAAGTCATCCAAGGACCAGAACCTCTTGTGTTGACTGGATGGAGATTTAGTCCACTTACCTCCTTAACTTATATCAATGCACTATTCTTTAAGAGGCTCTTTCCCGTTGTTATTTCCAGTCCCTGTATGATGCTCTTCAGGGTCTTATTTTAGAGATTTGTCCAGGAAAATGGCTCACCAAGTATAAAGGCAGGAAAGTGAAGAATTATAAAATGCTTCTGACTGCTACAATACAAGCACTTTATAAATGTACCAGCCAGTCTGCTGAGGTCTGTATTATTTGTAATGAATACATTTTCGTGAACATGTTGTAAAGGGAAAGCTTCCTTCTCAAGGAAAGTCTTTAGCCTTAGAGGCAAGTTTGCCTTTCCAAAGTCAGGGTGATTACCAACCTACGGGACTGACTCTATATACAGGAACCTGAAGGAAACTGCAGGATTTAAGAAAAAAAATCAAGAAATGAGCCATTAGGAATTTTACTTAAAATTGTCGATCTGTCTATAGTTGGACTGGGCCATTAACTCCATGAGGGAAGGAATTCTTATTAGTTTGCATTACCTCTGTATTGTTAGCATCCAGACCAGTACCTTATTTGTCTAAGGAAGTGGAGAGCTAAGGGATATCCTAAATTCCTTGTCCCAAGAATAGAAATAGGGCCGATAAGGCCAGAGTGTTAGGTCAGTGGTATTAGGATATTATTAGATTGATGAGGTACAGATCTATGATTTCTGAACTGCGTGTATTAACAAAGTTAAACTGATGGTGACTGCTGCTGATGCTTTTTTGTATGTTGATATGGTGAATTTGATTGATTAGCCAGTGTTGAATCAACTTTATATTTCTGGATAACTCCTACTTGATCATGATATACTGTCCTTTTAACATATTGATGAATTCTGTTTACATTTTTTTCCTTCTTTTTAGGACAGGGTTTTGCTATTTAGTTCAGGCTGGCCTTGAACTATGTAGCCCAGGCTGGCCTTGATCTTGTGGTAATCCTCCTGCCTCAGCCTCCCAGGTGTTAGGGTTACAGGCATGTACCACCACGTCCAGCTGATTACCTTTTATTAAGAAATTTTGCATCTATTTTAATGAAGTCTGTGGTTTTGAAGTTTTAATTCCTTCTGTTGACTTTGGTTTTGGTATCCAGATGATACTGGCCTCGTAGAATGAGCTGTTAAGTGTCCTTTCCTCTTGTTTGTGGAAGTATTTGTGTGTGTGTGTGTGTGTGTGTGTGTGTGTGTGTGTGTGTTTTGGGGTGGTATTGGAGATCGAACTTGGTACCTTGTGTTTGAGAGGCAGATGATGGAACCACTGAGCTAAATCCCCAGAGTATTTGTATATTTTTGCTATCAGTACAGGACTAAAGGTTTGGTAGAGTTCTCTAGTGATGCCATATAGACCTCTAGTTTTCTTTGTGGGAACATTTTTAACCACAAGTGTAGTTTCTTTGATACAGGACTAGTCATGTTAATTATTTACCCTAGCAAGTAGTTTGTGTTTTCAAATAATTTGTCTGCTTCATTTAAATAATCATATTCATTGGCCAAAGTTGTTTGTAATTATCTTTTATTATCCTGTTTGTGTCTTTAGAATATGTAATGATGTCCTCTCTGATTCTGTGTTTGTGTTGTTTTTTGAGACAGGGTCTCACTATATAGTTTAGGTTGCCCTTGAACTCACTATGTAGTGCAGGCTGGCCTTGAACTCGAGGCAATCCTCCTGCCTCAGCCTCCTGAGTGCTGGGATTACAGGCACATGCCACCATACCCAGTCCTCTTGATTCTTGATATTGGTAATTAAAACATTTTTTTTCCTCTCATTCTCTCCATCAGTATAGTTAATTTCCCCTTTTTTTTTTTTTTTTTTTTTTTTAGTGAATACTGGGGATTGAATTTAGGCACTTGTACTAGGTAAGTGTACTACTGAACTACAGCCCTGCTTGGATATATTCAGTTTTGAGTGCTGGGGATTTAGCTCAGTGGTGCTGCAGCCTGCCTCGCAAGGTCAAGGTCCAGAGTTCAAAATCTAGTACCAAAAAAAAAATTTTTTTTTTTTTTTTTTTTTTTTTTTTTTTTTGAGACTGGGCCTTTAACTTTGACTCTTCTGCCCCTAGTCACCTGACTAATTGGGGTTATGGGTTTGGGCCAATGGTTCTGGCTTTATTGATTTTTTTTTGAAACAGGGTCTTGCTATGTATGTAGTTCAGGGTGATCTTGAACTCACTACATAGCCCTCATAGCAGCCTTCCTGTCTCACCCTCCCAAGTGCTGGGATTACCGGTGTGCATCACCGTGCACAGCAATTGCTATTTTTAAAGAAGTGGCTTCTTTGATATTCTGTATTTTTCTCTTTTCAAGAATATTGATTTCTGGTATTATTTTTGTTTGTTTGTTTGTTTGTGTAAAAATGGTCTTCTGAATGCTGGTTTACTTCCCAAATAGGCATATCTGAATTATATTTGTTATATATTCACTTTTCCCCTATCTGATTTTTAGACTAAAAGCTTTGATGATATAATAGACATCATAGCAAATCTTAATTACAATCAGAATTACAAGTCTGTCTTACCTTCTTACGGGTATTTCTGCTCATCAGAGACACAGCTGATTGGACTCTAGAGAATATAGAAAACATGAATGTTGTATAGTATCGATATGGTTTATCACTGGTGAATCTGTAACAGCTGCACTAATTTCTACTTTGCTTTTCTTTAGTTGCTGCACCATTCTTAGTCTGTGCATCTTAATTTATAGAATACATACTTGAATTTGTAAGTTTCCTTGCCATTTTAAAGAAAAAAACAAACAAGCTAACTTCTCTGAGCCTTTTGTTGATGCGCTAATGTTTCATTACATCCTGAATGATCTTATTTGTTTTTACAGTACTGGGATTGAACTCAGGACACTGTGTTAGATCTTTAGCTCTCTTTAATTTTTATTTTGAGATAGGGTCTTGCTGAGATTTTAAGTTGTAGAGGCTGGGCTGGAATTTGTGGTCCTTCTGCTTGGCCTGCCAGAGTTCTGAGATTACAGATGTGTACCTTGATGCCCAGCTCCTTAATGAAATGTTATGAAAGTCCTTGAAGTTCTTGTTTCTGTAGCCCTGAGTTGATCTTCAGACTTACAATTCAACTTTGAATTTTTATTTTTAGATTCATTTTTATTAAGATATAATTTACATATAGTAAAATAAATAAGTTTTACATATGCTGCTCAGTGAATAAAGTAAAATGACCACTCACATCAAGATTCTGAGAGAATTCTGAATGCTTTGGGGAGCATACTGTGTGCTGTATCTTATTTTCACTAGAAACCTTTGTTTGAATATACAGTATTGTGTGTTTAAACACAGACTATTAAAAGTAAAGACAGTGTAGAAAAGCCCCCCCAAAAGCAACAACATTTTTAGACTAATTAGTAGTGTCTCTGAAGAAAGATTAAAGGCTGGAAGGTTTTTGTTTGATCTTGATCAGAGGTGTGGGCAATTATAAAAGGGACTTCAGAATACAAAGTTAATGTGGATAATGCTGAACAAATGTGGTGAAATGATTTGGAACTAAGGACAGATTTTATTTAAATATTGGAAAAACCTCTTAACACTTTCATGTAAAACCCTAGAATGTGAACATAACATAAAGTCCATATGAACAGCTATCTTTAAGAAAGGAAAAATTCCTAGATAAGTTTAAATTGCCTAAAAACAGAGACAGGTTTGGACCCTTCTAGTTGAAGAAATGTGAAATTCTGTAACTTATATCTAATGACACTAGAACACCTAATTGGTCATATCTTGAGTTTGATTTTATTCTCTTTGTCTAGAAGATTAAGATTGCAGCCCTGCGCATGTATAGTAGCTGTGTGGAGAAAACTGACTTCGAGGAATTCTTTCTAAGTAAGTTACTGTTTGATAGTTTTGAAAGGAAAATGAATGTACTTTTTATCTTAATGGGGAGATATATCTATATCTATATATATATTTTTTTGTACTGCGGATTGAACTCAGGTCCTTGTGCTTGCGAGGCAGGCAGTGGAACCCTGAACTAATTCCCCAGCCCTTAATAGTTATATTTTAATAGGATAAGTTTTTTTGTTTTGTTTTTGAGACAAAGTCTCTTGTGTAGTTCAGGCTGGCCTTGAACTCAAGATTCTCTTGCTTTGTTCTTCTGAGTTCTGGGATTATAGGTATGCACCAATTAGCTGGTTTTAGACATTTTTTTTTTAAAGTTACTAGTGAAACAATTTTTCCTGTACAAAGTATAAAACAAGCTATTTTTCTCCCTTACTATAAAAACAAAAGAAATCTATATATAAAACATTTTAGCCAGGTGTGGTGGTGCACACCTATAATCACAGCAATCAGGAGGCTAAGGCAGGAGAATCATCATGAGTTCAAGGCCAGCCTGAGCTACATTAGCAAGGACCCTCTCTTAAAAAAAAAAAAAAAAAAAAAAAGCCTTTTTTTGAGGGTGTACTGGGGATCTAAAGACCTTGCACTTGTGAGGCAGGCAGCGGAACTACTGAGCTAAATCCCTGGCCCACAAAAAACATTTTAAAAAGTTTGAAAAGACTTGTCTAATACTTTGGCATTGTCATTGGCCTTATGCACACACATCTTTTATGTCAAAGAACTTGTAGTATACATATCTGTTTTACTTTGTATTTTCACCTAGACTTTTTGCCATTCGGTCCTCCTTTGTTTCTTATTTTCAGTTGTTAATCCTGGAATAAGCTTTGTGATTTTTCTTCTTTCTATTAAATGACTAATGACAAGGGCCAGGGATTTAGCTCAGTGGTGCCGCTGCTTGCCTTGCAAGCACAAGGTCCTCAGTTAGATCCCAAAAAAAAATGGATAATTATTACAAGGCTTATATAATTTTATTATTTATATCCCATTAATGAATTGCCTTTCAAAAGGGTTTTATTGGATTAAATTTCCACTGGCAGTCAATTGTATCAGTATAATACTCATTTTGATTCTGAAAGCTATTATAATTAGCAAAGTTAATTAAAGTAGGTACTTGTAAAACTACTGGAAAAATTTAAGCCATTTCCTGTAACACAGAGTTTATTAGGTAAGATTGCAAAATACAACGAATATTTAATTTTTTAAAAATTTTATAACAATAAAAGATATTTTACCATTAATCAAAATACTCTCAAAATACTCCCTTCACTTTGAATGCACTTATCCTATCTTTCTTGCCACTTTCTAAAGCAATTCTGGAAGTCCTCTTTCATGAGTGTCTTAGTTACACTGTTGTGGGTGCCTTGATGTCCCGAATCTGTTCAAAACATTCACTCTGATAGTCACTGTGCCTTTGGGGAAGAGCCACAAATCTCACGATGTCAGCTCCAATGAATAAAGTGGATGAGTATCCACTACAGTGTTTTACAAGCCTACCTTTTAGTTGGATGGCGCTTCAGAGCAGTATTCTCATTTTTTTATCACACTTTATAAAGACACTCATGAAAGGGGACTTCCAGAATTGCTTCATAAAGTGGCAGGAATGATGGGATCAGTGTGTTCAGAGTGAGGGGAAGTATTTTGTTTTTTTTCTGTTATTTTTTTTTTCTTCTTATTGAGTTTATTGGTACAATCTAGGTATACAATACAATTACATTCATCATTGGGATTCTGTACCTTTACATAATAGGTCTTGATTCTCATTTTTTCCCCTTGTCCCTGCCCTCCCTTCCCCCC